AAGTGAAAGACGGGTACCTTAAAAACTGACAAACTGGGGTTGTAGAGAGGGCTCAGCAGTTAAGAGCCCTGGCTGTTCTTCCAGAGGATCTGGGTTCAAGTCTCAGCACCCATATATATGGTGACTCACAACTGTCTGTAACTCCAGTTCCAGGGGATCCAGCACCCTCACATAGATACACGTGCAGGCGAAACACCAATGCACATAAAATAAAGCCATAAAAAACACTTGCATTAAAACAAAACTGACAAGTAGTTTCTAGAATTGTAACATCAATAGGCTTTTCTTGATTTTGTTTTCTTCAAAACTTGCAGTTTCAAACCAGGCGTGCCTAAAATCTCGGCATTCGGGAGTCTGAGGCAGAACAGTGAGTTTCAGGCCAGACTGATTTATACAGAGACTCAGCCAAGAATAACGTTTACGTTTTTGCTAGAAGCGTACTTATGTTAAGGTCTTATTTTCTTCTTGTTGGGCTTTCTACAGGTGAAGCTCTTAAGCTGTGGCTCAGACACTGTGAAGAGGCGATGACCAATAAAGACGAAGGGAAACAGGTGTTTGGAGACTGCCTCATGAGCATCTCCTTCCGCCTTTCTGTCTTGTCTCCCCTGCTTCTATTATTTGGATATGTGATGAGGTCATCTCAGTTTCTATTAAGATTCCTGAATGTCTTGTCAAAGACATACATAGTTAAGACATTCAAAAGTTTTAGCCAATTTATTTTTGGCTACTACTTGGCTGGAAAAGCAGTCCCCTCTGAACCTGGCTGGGTTCTAATTGGGAGAAAGGTCAGCCTCCTTCCATCTGGAGAACTCTACACCACATGTGAATGAGACAAGACATTCAAGGAGTTGCATTTTCAAATGTCTTTCATTCCCTAAAATTCAAATTAACTTATTTTTCAAATATTTGTATAGCTTGTGTTCTGTGCCAGATACTGTCTTAAGAGCATTTAAAAAATTAATTCACCTACTTTTTAGGCAATTTCATGAGGTACTTTTCTTATTTTACAGGTAAGAAAAGTGAGATACAAGAGTAACCCAGTAATGGAGGCACAGGCCTTTAACCCCAGCACTCGGGAGGCAGAGACAGGCAGACCTGAGTTCGAGGCCAGCCTGGTCCACAGAGTGAGTTCCGGGACAGTGAGAGCCACACAGAGAAACCGTGTGTGTGTGGGGGTGGGGGTGGGGGGGCGGGGCACGTAGGGGGAAAGAGCAGTGAGTAACTTAGACACATAATAATGGGAGCATAGCTGGAGACCCTCTGCCTCTGGGGTCGATGTCTTTCACACTGTCTGGCCCAGTGGCCTATGGTGGACTATCTCTTAGTAAAAAGTGGCTTTCTATACAAAATCTAGAACTGACATCTGAGAAACTTAAAAATCAATTAAATTTCAGCTGATGATTGTAAAGACTGAAATGTCACACATAGAAACCAGAAAGAAGGCTCGAACAGAAAGAGGAAGGAAACAAACTGGTGAGCTTCACAGCGTTCTGGAATCCAGAAAACGTGTGTCGGCCTAGCAAAAGTGGGCGGAGTGACAGTGGCCACACTGGTAATGTGCGCCCAACAATGATGGAAGCCGGGAATCAGGATCGTTGGCTGCTCAGGGTTCAGAATGGAGGAGTTGGAAGAAGGTAAAGACCAGGGAGAGGCTCTGCGCTTGCCTAGCCTATGTGAGGTGCTGGGATCAGTTCTCGGCACCACAAAACAACGAGCTGTGCTGTAGGCCCCAGGCTCAGCAAAGCATTGTTCAACACTGCCATGCCGCTGGGGAAGAGCCAACTGAAGGCTTACAGGAGGATCTCAGCTCCTCACTGCAAGCACGCTCTTGGGAGGTCCCCAAAAGCAAAACCCACGTGGAGTAAGAGCGTGTGGGAGAACAGGAACAGGAAAGATCCCAATTGTAACCATAAAAACTCATTTTTCAAGACAGGGTTTCTCTTATCCTGGAGCTCACTCTGTACAGAGTGGCCTCACACTCAGAGATCCATCCTGCCTGTCTCCTGAAAGCTGGGATTGAAGGCAAGCACTACCATACTCAAAACAGCACAATTCTTTATAAAAAGATGTATTTATTTTTATAATTTATTTTTATTTTATTTGTATAAACATTTTGCCTCTGTGCATGTATGTATGTATGTGTACTTTGTGTGCCTGGAGCCCAAAGAAGCCAGGAGAGGATTCCCTGAAATTGGGGTTACTGATGGGTTGCAAGCCCACGTGGATGCTAGAAACCAAATCCAGGCTCTCTCCAGAGCAGACAGTGCTCTTAACCACCAAGCCAGATCTTGAGCCCCAGAACATAATCCTTAAGTATGAATAGAATTAGTCAAATATATGTGGTAAATAAAACACTATGACATTTATATATATATTTTATATATGTTTATATATAATATAAATATATATAATATAAATGTATATATTTATATATAATATAAATGTATATATATATATATATAATCAGCTGTTGGGATATATTTTAAAATAAGAGCCAATTGAACTTAAAAAAGAAACCGTGCTTCTAAGTAGATGTAAATTCAAACTACCCCGATTTCATCATTACATGTTATCTACATGTTAAGAATCACACTGCATATTGTATTTGTACAAATTTAAGTTGGAAGTCTAGCACATGGGAGACCCTGAGTTTGGTTCCTGAAAACAAAATGAAAATCTTTATAGAGTGATAAAAATATTACATAATTTACAATTTTAGTAACACAATTTTTTGGGGTGTTCTACGTTAATGAAAAATGCAAAATGTGAGGTGAAAATGTCTTTACTTTTGCAGAAAATGAACAGGAATTTGTATGATTTAATGTGCTCTGAAAATAAAAGTTCACTTATTCAATGTTCTCCAGTTGATCCGCCCCACCTCTCTTCCACTGAGATGATCCATTTAGAGATCTCTTAACTGGGTCTTAGAGACTTCTCAGAGAAAAGCCTTGCAGGTAGCTCAGTACTAACCTGGTTAGCTTGTTCTCTAAAAATCCATGCTCATAGCAAACAACTGTCTCAGCAGGAAATACTTAAGCAGATACTGTAGTCACAACAGAATTGATGTAAGGAAGTCTTCTAAGTTGATCCAGCCTCCCAATCCGATAAAGTTGTAATTTGACTCTGTAGTCAAACTTTCCACTCAACATCCTTTTGCCTGTTTTATTTTACACCCACAAATCGTACACACAAGGCCCTAGGGATGGCAGGTGCAGAAACCTGAGACTGCAGCCAAGGGTCTTCAACTCCCTCGGAAATAGCTACGTGACATTTCTCAAATGGCAGTGCTCTGAGTCAGTCATTTCTACCTTTTAACTCCTACAGGATTCATGGCTAACTACTGTCCTTCTTAGACTCATTCTCAAGGCTCTAAAAATGACTTTAAGTATTTAAAAACTTAAAATATAAAACTTTTCAAATTTTATTGCTTTTTTTGGAATTAGGCCTTACTATGCAGCCCTGACTAGACTTGAGACCCACCTTCACTGCTGGGATTAAAGGCCTGCATTGCCACATCCAATCTGTACATTTTAGTTTTTTTGAAAGCATGCTTTTGATCCATGCTCTTTACCTATTACTAAATGAAAACAATTTGTGGGTAAAACTGAATCTTCACTCACAAAATGTTCTTTGGCTGTAATGATTCATTTTCATAGAACCTACTTTTTCGGTTTATTCTCAGGATCTTGAGTAATATGCCTGTCTAGGTAAACTCAGTAGTGACATACAGCCTTGGGGATCTGACTTGGTTGTCCATTTAACACACCTGGGACGAGGACCCTGCCTTCCTTCACCAATTAAGCCTGTTGGGCATTTTAATTGATACAGGTCAAGCCCACTGTGGGAAGGAACCATTCCCAGGCAAGTGGGCCTTTGACTGTATGTGATGGAGAGAAGCCAGTAAATTTAACTGGTCAGAAAGAAAACCCAGGCCCATTCCCAATGTATTCTCTGACTAACCCTATTAAATGGCAATCCAACTGTGTAAACAATGTCAGTTTGCAAAATATTCACTTCTAGAAATTTTTTTTTTAAAAAATAAGTGCTCCATCTGGTTATCCACTGGATAAATTATGTTTATACACCTAACAGATCACTCTTGACACTAGTTAAGTGGTGGACACTGGTAAAGCTCAGCACTGAAAACCTGCTTCTGAACCTCTTTAGCACTTACTGTTAAGTCTTCCTGGTTAAGCTCTAGGATGCTTTCTTTTTTCAAACTTATGACCAAGGACTTAGATGGTTCTGTGGGTTAAAATGGTATATGCAGGCTTAGGTCCAAGTCAGATGACTATGCTGTACCTTAAGCGCTCTAACTATACTTTGACAGACCCTACCACCATGTCCTTCACAAGATACCTTTAAGAGCAGACCACTAGTAGCTTGGGTCTAGATTCTCCGTAGCAGTCTCTGGACACCTATTCTTAATTTTCTGTAAGAGTCAAAGTAAGCTACACTAGGGGCTTATGCTTATAATTGGGAAGGCACTGTGACTAAACATGACTCAGGGTGCTGACCCCATTTTAAATAACCCTAATTAACCACACATGGTGGTCCAAGCCTTTAATTTCAGTTCCCTGGCGCAGAGACAGGCAGATGGACTTCTGTGAGGCCACCTGGTGCACACTGAGACAACATCCCAAACAAAAAAACCAGACTTAAGGGTCACAAAATCAGTCTGCTGTCTGGTATTAATTTAGCCTTTAAAATGGCCTAGTGCCCTCTAGAAAAGCTAACTTCCTTCTTACCTGTCCCATTTCTTACACACCTCTAAATGGTTCACCACTGCATGGCCTGCTCAGCAGTTAAAAGAACCCATTCTCTTGCTAAGGACTCTGGTTCAGTTCCCAGCACCTATGTGGTGGCTCAAAATCGCCTGCAACTACAGTTCCAAGCAACCTTACACCCTCTTCTAATCTCTGCTTGCACCAGATACCCCTGAGACACTCAAACATGCAATAAATTAAAAAAACCCGTTTTCTAAAAATAAAGTCAACAAATTTTAACCGATTAAGTCAATTTATTAGAACAGTTGACTTAGGCATCTGCAATGGTGACTTCAACCTCCACGCCCGGCTCAATACTGATGGACGTAATCTGCTTAACTATCTCGGAGGGGCTGTGCAAGTCAATGAGACGCTTGTGGATTCTCATTTGGAAACGATCCCACGTCTTGGAGCCTTCACCACAAGGTGTTTTTCTTGTAGTGATCCTCAGGGTCTGCAACAAAACAGAAAGAAACCAAGGTGTAGCCACGAACCATTTCTCCCTTCCGCTAACAAGTGTGTCAGGTCCCAGCAACTTCCGCCAGCCCGAGGCGCCCTGGAATTTGCTGCTTCAGTAAGACATAGCCCAGGCAGCACCGTGAGGTGCTCGGCACCCGTCACAGGCGAAAATTGTACAAACTCATTTCCCGTTTTTGTCTTTAAGTATTCCATGAGCTACCAAACCCCGGGACACCAAGCACACGCGTTTCAGACCACCACAGGAAGATTCTGGCACTTACCTTGGTGGGCATGCGCACCGGCCCCTTCACTTTCAGGTTCTTCTCCTTGGCGCCTCTGATCAGGTCGGCACACACTGAAGGGCCAAGAGACAGACACTCTTTCATTTCCGTTATCTCAACCCTCCCCCGTCGCCCCCGGGAAGCTGGCCCATCGGCTCAGAATAGCGTAAAAAACTATCACTGCCATTCAACACAGTAAGGATCTCCTCACCGCCGACCGCCCCGCAGCTAAGTTAAAGCGCCCGAGGGACGAGAGCCCCGACCCCACCACACTGACCCTTCTCCAGCGACTTCACGTTGCGGCTGGTGAGCGTGATCCGGATGCGATGGATCGCCACCTCGGGCTCCACGGGCGTCTTCCCGGTGTCTTTGAAAGCCTGTTACCACCCCGGCGGGAAAACAAACAGCGACCCGTAAATGGCGGCCCGCTCCGGAGACACTGACGCCACCGGGGCCGTTGCCGCGGCGGGAAACCCTCTGCTCGCCGGCGCCCGGGAACGTGAGCCCCGCAGACGCCCCGAGCCGCGCGGCGCCGTCCCCTGCCTCACCATAGCTGCGGCGCGGGCTTCCTGACCGACTTGTTCCTCGGCGGGAGCGAACAGCGGTGAGTCAGGACGGGAGCAGGCCGAGCAGAGCTCCGCGGCGAGCACTACCACGCCCCAGAAAGGAGGGCGGAAGGGCCGGCGGGCGCTTATATAAGCACGCTCGCATCCGGGTCCTTCGCGCCCCGGAACGGGAAGCGCCCCGCCCGCCAAGGGGCGGCCGCGGGAGGCCGGGCCTGCGGCACTCGCGAATTGGCGGCGAAAAGGGGAGGTCGCGCGCGCGCCCCTTGCCGGCTCGGCGGAGTAAATGCCCTGATCCGGAGGACGCGGGAGACTGGAACCTTTGCAAAGCGCTGACCCCTGTGGTGTTTGCGGAGCGAAATACGCTTCCCGTGCACACCCAATCCACGTGATTTGTCCTGACAAGTGAACCACTTTCCTGGGTTTAAGTGGCATGCGCCTGGGGGAAGAGCGACCCGACAAGCCAGGCGGTTAAATTTATTTACTTTCGGTGCTGGAGCTAGAATCCGGGGCTCAGCAGGAAAAAGCACCTAACCCACGAGCCCGACACCTCGAGTTCGGTCCTGTGAGTCCTCGGTGGAAGGAGAGACTGGATTCCGGAAAGTTGTCTTCTGACTTCCGATCGAGAGCTGTGGCACCCACTCCCACCCACCCCCCCCCCATTAATAACCCAAATTACATTTTTAAAAATTATTCAAAAACTGTTTTTCAGAGCCGAAATGTCCTTTTGTGACATCTCCGCTTTGAATTTCCCAGAACATCGAAAATGTCTATATCGGCTAGGAAAGACCCGAGTTTAGTGTTCACACCTTCCGCTAAGAGAAGGCGAAGTCCAACTGCAGGGCTCTGTGGGGTCACAGCGCAGGTACCTGCAGCCCGGCTGGGACCTGGGTGTCCAATTTTAACACATCCTCTCCCCTAGGTCGCGATGACGCAATGTGTACTGGCTAAGACCTCCGAGGACTCCTCAGGGCGGAGCATCTGTTCATAATAAAACCCATGTCCAAATACAGCAGAAGGAAAGCCAAGCGAGGTCAAACGCCCTGGAAAGCAGGGAAGGGTGCAGGTTGACCTCCCACTCCAAACTCCCTCCCCGTCATGGGTAAGGACGTGGTCAACTAGACTATAAACACAGAGGTGGGTTTAGGACAGGACAGGAGAAAATAACAGTTATTTGCTCAGACTTGCCAGACTGGTGAGGGTCTGAGCACCGATCCTTCCAACCAGGACACCATTTAAAGACTTTCTCCTCTGATCTTTGCGAGAGAACTACGCTGGAAACTTCCAAGGACCAGCACTGGCTCCCTTGTTGGGTGATACCCAACCTAGTCTGACTCACAACATACACGTTGTTTTGCATTGAACAATTAAGATAAGTGTTAAAATTAGATTTTTCAAGATCAGTTGTTTTAATCCATTGACAGCAAATACTCTCCTAGTATATTTCAGAACAGAATAAAAATCTGAAATCTGTATTCTTTTTTTTTTCTTTTCTTGCTTAGTTGTTTTGCCTTTTTGAGACTGGGTCTTACTAAGTAGTCTTGGCTGACCTGGAATTTCTAGATATCTCCCCACCTCTGCCTCCATAGTGCTGAGATTAAAGTCATTGGCCACCACCCCAGCTAAAACCTGCATTCTTATTTGGGTACCTGTGACCTCCGTGAAACTTTTAACTCTGTTGGATGTATTATAGCGTTATCTGCAGCAAATAGACAAATGCATACTCGCCCAGCATCCTGAGCTGTGATTTGTATTAGTATCAAGAGGAGTTGTATCTTCAGAAGCCTGGACAGCCGTGCTCCAGGGTTGTCCAGGAGCTCAATGGAGTGCTCGAGAAGTACAATTAGAAACTTTTTAGTAGCCCAGACTAGCTTCAAACTTTAATCCTCCTACCCAGTGCTACGGGATTACAAGGGTACACCACCACTTTGAGCTAGAATTATTTCCAAAAACAAATCTTAGGTTTTCCTTACTTCATACTTGAGGAATGGTGAGCATGTTAACTTCTTGAACAATAAGAAAATAATTTTTCTTTTTTTAATTTTATAATTTGCTTATTTGTAATTTTTTGGTACATTGGTGTTTTGCCTGCATGTATGTCTGCCTGTATGAAGGTGTCAGATCCCCTGAAACAGGCGTTATGGACAGTTATGAGCTGCCATGTGGGTGCTGGGAATTTAACCTGGGACCCCAGAAAAAGCAGTCAGTGCTCTTAACCCCCGAGCCATCTCTCCAGTCCCCCAGAAGAAGAATTTTAAGATGGTCTCAGTGGCATTGGTCTGTAATCCCAGTTCAGGGGAACCATAGGCAGGAGATTCAAGACCAGCCTGGAGGACATATTAAGAACTCATCTCAAAACACTAAGGGCTGGCTGTACTCTGGCGGTGCACGCCTTTAATCCCAGCACTTGGAAGTCAGAGGCAGACAGATCTCTGTGAGCTTGAGACTAGGCTAGTCTACAAAGTGGATGCCAGGACATTCAGGACTGTTACACAGAAATCCTGTCTCCGAAGGAAAAAAAAAGGAGGAGGAGGAAGAAGAAGAAGAAGAAGAAGAGGAGGAGGAGGAGGAGGAGGAGGAGGAGGAGGAGGAGGAGGAGAAGAAGAAGAAGAAGAAGAAGAAGAAGAAGAAGAAGAAGAAGAAGAAGAAGAAGAAGAAG